CAGGCATTTCCGTATGTAGAAAATGGTGGATTAAAACTGGTTTTATAGCTAGCTAAACAATATATATAATGTCCTCTCACTGAATAATTCAAAGTTTGGTGACTATGTTGAACGCACCTATTCCAACGAATTCGAATTAAGGATACAACAGATACAATTAAGTTAGCCTCATATCTTGACTTACATCTAGAAATTGACAATGAAGGTCGGTTGAGAATAAAACTTTACAGCAAAAGAGATGATTTCAGCTGTCCAATTGCTGAACTTTCCATTAGCAACATTCAAGCAGCGCCTTCATATGGAGTATATATCTCCCAGTTGATTCGATATTCAAAAGCTTGCATTGCCTATCATGATTCCCTTAATATTAGATGGTTGCTGCTTACAAAGAAGCTATTAAATCAAGAGTTCCAAGTGGCGAAGTTGAAAGCATCCCTTCGATTAGCCATCATCAAAAGATAGAAGAAAACAGAGTAGGCTATAATACTTTTGCCGAAAGGACTAAACAATCAAGCCCATATACCAATACTTGAAAATATCCAAAAGAATCACCAAATCTATGCATAAGTACCATTTCCTCAGACCCCCAACCAAAATAGACTCCCTCAAACCCAACGTAATCCCGAATACTATAAAGGAATGGAGCTCAATATCATCTGAAATTTTCAACAAGATAGAATCTCCTACAGACCAAGTCAAATCATTTGCAAATATTGTTAGTGCGGGAGGTATTTGGATTAATCGCTACATGACGGAAACGCGGTGTAATTATCATATATTTCTATCGAACGAGTTACGTACCATATCAGGATCAACATGAAGAGATCTGAAGACATGGTTGACCTATTGCTTATAGTATTTGAGAAAAGTACAAAATCAGGATATTAGAATGTTGGTCAATGAACAATGAACATGATGCCAAGGTCAGATGAACCCTGTCTACCGGACATGTGCACCTTGCAATCATCCCATGCATCAAATTTAGTTGACATATTGCTTAAAGTATATAAGAAACGAACATAATCACGAAAAATTTACGTTGACCAATGAACAATGAAAATGAGGTCAAGGTCAGACGAACCTGTCAGACAGACATGTACACCACACAATCATTACATATATACAAAATATAGTAGACCTAGGCTAATGCTTAACAGTCAGGATTCTACTTCGTCAAAATTATCTCCCCATTACGCCAGTTCATTTTTACAATCGTAAAAATGGAAGCCATTGTAGGGATGACGCGCTTCCAATTTAGCTCTTGAAAACCGATAAATTTATCCACATAGCACCATTACGATCCTTATATGCCAGGTGTATTTTAAAAGACAAATGTATCTACTAGCTAATGAGCATCAGTTAATGTACTTGTCTGCATTCAGTCAACTTAAAACTATTGTCGGATCGGTTGTCAGGTGGAATTTTTGGAAATTCATAAACATTTAAAAAAATTCTAATTAAATATTTCGTGGAAGGTCAGACTAAAAATTTTCAGTGGTTGAAGACTATAAACCCTCATTATCACACACAAAAAATGAAGTTTTTTCGAAGATATGCATTTTTAAGATCCAACTTAAAAGTCAGTCGTCAAGTACTTTTAGTAAAAATTTGCTATTCAAACACACCTATTCTGTTTTTGTGATTCATTAGAAAGGTATTTCACTTGACCCATATATTTAATTTTTTAGTACTGTGAACTTTCGATGTTATAAAGTCAACCTGTAGCCTTGATATATAAAAATAATAGAATCTGAAGCGAGATGATGTATCAAATACTCTTGCTTTATACGTTTTCAAGACAAAATATTTAACTCAAACACGCCCTAACATAAAAAGGTGCACTCGATTTGATCTTTTCGATGCAATTGTTACCCATTTTTTGAATTTTTTCTTGAGTTACATAATGGAAGGGCAGAAACGAAAATTAAGGAACAAATAGATTGATATGTTCTCCGTCCGTGGTAAAAAAAAATAAAAAATCGGAGGTTATGCATTTTTTAGATCCAACTGAATAGACAACCATGTCGTCGACTTGGTATCTAATTGTTCTGCTTAATTATGTAATAGATAAATTGAAAACTTATGCAAATTGTGTTTTTATGAAAAAATACATCGTAATTTAGCCGAAAACTGTCATTTTATTTGTTTCTATTAACTTTTAAAAATTTTGTTACTATAGTAAACATTACAGTAAGCATTTATCGCCTTCTCTAACAAAGAGCTTCGATTCTTTTGTTCTCTTTCAACTGGGTTTCCGCCTGTTAAAGTACACGAGAAGCAGACCTTACTATGAAAACAACACTGACCAGTGAACCTGGAAATATGGTCAAGTTCAGATGAAACCTACCAGACAGTTAAATACACCTTACAATAATTTTATTCACCAAATATAATTGACCTACTGCTTATAGTATCTGAGATACGACCACTCATCCATGAAATGAGGTTGAGGTCAGGTGAACCCTGTCTGACAGACATGTAGCCTTGCAAGGATTCCCAATACCAACAATATTATCCTAATAGTCACAATAAGTCAGAAATTTACACGACAAATAAAACTATATATTCAATAAACCATGAAAATGAGGTCTAGGACAATGGAATTATGATGGATGCAAACTTCTTAACATATATCACATCAGCATACCAGGTATAATATAATAAAGCATCCATGTTTTATTTCCTCTGAGATTAAAGTTTTATACAAATAGTTTACGCTGCCGCTTGATTGTAATCCTTATGTCTTGTATTCTACGAATTGAATCCAAGAGGTGCTTGAAAAAATCCCAAACATTACAAGAAATGCTTTAGACCATATTTATACGTACCCGTCTTGCTTTATTTCAATCTTAGAAGAATTTCTTTGGTAAACCCCTTTGATGAAATATATCTAAAAAATCCCTCCTTACGTTTTTTTTAACATTTCGGACAGCAACACACTTTTTTCCTTAGACCCTGGACCCACCCCTGCAAACCTTTTGCTTTAAAGATATTTAAAACAAGGGAAGGGTTGTCTCATTAATATCCACCCATTTTTTTGACCATCAAAAATTATGTGAAAGTTGTGTCAAATATTTTAAACATATTTATAGTATATACCAGCTTTATTTACTGCTAGTGATTTCATAGGAATAAACACACCTTAAACTTCTGAGAATTAAAAAAAATAATTCGATTGATAAGCAAAAAAAAGAATTTGGTTTGATTGGAGTTGAAAATAAAATGCTCCGCAGGGCGCAGCTTGATACGACCGCAGAGGTCGAATCCTGAACAGTTGGGGCAAGTATGGACACAACATTCAAGCTTGATACAGCTTTGCATTTGGATTGTGATTAAATATTTGACACAGCATAGGTTTCTGACACAGAATGAATGTGGTCTAAGAACTTAAAAATTTTAAATTGGACATTCACCTATTATGGTCCAATATCCAAAATCTAAATACATGGTTAGATTCAGCATATCAAAGAACCCCAAGAATTCAATTTTTGATGAAATCAAACAAAGATTAATTTTGGACCCTTTTGACCTCAATGTGGACAAAGTTGAAAACGCGGCCCAAAAATCAAAAATCTAAATACATGGTTAGATTCAGCATATCAAAGAACCCCATATATTCAATTTTTGTTGAAATCAAACAAAGTTTAATTTTGGACCCCGATTTGGACCAACTTGAAAACTGGGCCCATAATCAAAAATCTAAATACATGTTTAGATTCAGCATATCAAAGAACCCTAAGAATTCAATTTTTGGTAAAATCAAACTAAGTTTAATTTTGGACCCTTTGGACCTTAATGTAGACCAATTTGAAAACGGAACCAAAAATTAAGAATCTAAATACATGGTTAGATTCCGCATATCAAAGAACCCCAATAATTCAATTTTTGATGAAATCAAACAAAGTTTAATTTTGGACCCTTTGGACCTCAATTTGGACCAATTAAAAAAACGGGGCCCAAAATCCAAAAACTAAATACACGGTTAGATTCAGCATATTAAAGAAACCCAAGAATTCAAGAATAAAACCCCATTGAAATTGGTCAAGAAATAAGCAATTTATACGAAGTATCTTCTTTTGCACAATACTGTGCAATTAAATATTTCTTGCTATTGCGCAATACTGTACAATTGACAATTTCTTGCTATTGCGCAATATTGTGCTATTGGATATTTCTTGCTATTGCGCAATACTGTGCAATTGAAGATTTCTTGCTATTGCGCAATACTGTGCAATTGAAGATTTCTTGCTATTGTGCAATACTGCGCAATTGAAAATTTCTTGCTATTGCACAATACTTATTATATAATAATTTACACATCCTTTTTGGTGTGTATCTCCTACCATATCATTATTATTTGCTTTTAAATATAAATCAGAAATAACCAACTTAGAATGGAAAATTTTAAAAGAAAAAAAAAATGAAAAAAAAAAAAATCCCCCCCCCACAAATATTTTGAACCCCCTTATGATTCATCACCCCCAAACTCAATCCCAGCCTTCCCTTTGTGGAATGGTACCTTGCAGTACAATTTCAGAGAGATCCATACACTTGAACACAAGTTATTGTCTGGAAACTAGAAAAATGTGTTTTTTGGCCCCTTTTTGGCCCCAAATTCCTAAACGTTTAGGGCAATTACCCCCAAACTCAAACCCAGCTTTCCCTTTGTGATATGGAACCTTGTAGTACAATTTCAGAAAGATCCATACACTTACACACAAGTTATTGTCCTGAAACTAGAAAAATGCTTGTTTTTTGCCCCTTTTTGGCCCCTAATTCCTAAAATATTGAGGCAATTACCCCCATCATCAATCCCAGCCTTCCCTTTGTGGTATGGTACCTCGCAGTACAATTTCAGAGAGATCCATACACTTGAACACAAGTTATTGTCTGGAAACTAGAAAAATGCTTATTTTTGGCCCCTTTTTGGCCCTTAATTCCTAAATGTTTCGGCAATTACCCCCAAACTCAATTCCAGCTTTCCCTTTGTGATATGGAACCTTGTAGTACAATTTCAGAAAGATCCATACACTTACACACAAGTTATTGTTATGAAACTAGAAAAATGCTTGTTTTTTGCCCCTTTTTTGGCCCCTAATTCCTAAAATTTTGAGGCAATTACCCCCAAAATCAATCCCAGCATTCCTTTTGTGATATGGAACCTTGTGGTACAATGTCAGAGAGATCCATACACTAACACACAAGTTATGTCTGGAAGTTACAAAAATGCTTATTTTTGGCCCCTTTTTGGCCCCTAATTCCTTTACTGTTGGTACCATAACCCCCAAAAACAATCCCAACCTTCCTTTTGTGGTATTGAACCTTGTGGTAAAATTTCATAGAGATCCATTCACTTAAACTAAAGTTAGAGTGCGAAAACCAATGTGTCTTCGGACGACGCCGGACGACGCCAGACGACGACGACGACGACGACGCCGGACGACGACGACGCCAACTTCATACCAATATACGACCACAAAAATTTTTTTGCGGTCGTATAAAAATGTGTTCATCTAAAGCTAAATGGATGTTCTTTTACTATTACCAAAACCAACAACTGTCTAAATTCTGAAGTACATATATCCAAGCATACTTAAGTCATTGACAACATGTGAAAATTTGCTTAAAATCTTACTGCTAAAGTACCATAACTGTTAAAGTCCCATAACTCTGGAAAAACAAATGAAAATAATCAAAATCAAAATGGAATTTTCTTTCATCAATCGATCAGCAGTGTAATGTTTTTAAATAAATTGATTTAAAGTTAACTGGATTTAGTGTGCAGGATGTGATAATTTGCCTTGAAAATGACATCAAAAGTCTGAAAACAATAACTGAAAGGGAGCTTTCTTTTATCAATCCCAACAATAGCATACAGTTTTAAGTAAATTTGATCAAAGCAAACTCAAGTTAGTGTGTGATAAGGGAAAAATAGCCTTAAATCTGATTGTTAAAGTCCTGTAATTTGTTCTGTTGATGACAGACGAATAACAAAACTGAAGTATTAAACCTGGCTGGGATGAACGTTGTTCCACTTTTGTTTTAGTACCTAAAATATCATCTGATACCAGGCTTATACGTCAGACACATGTTTCTTCTACATAAGTCTCATCATTGGCAAAACCTGACAAAACTTGGACTTTGTACAGATTTTTGAAAAGTGAACGCAATCAACAAAACATATTGTTTCTGCATACCTAAGAATAATTACTATTGAGAAAACTGGCAGTACAAAATTTGTAAGTACACAATGTATATTCAATTCATTGAAAGGTACTAAGTACCTGCGAACTTTTCAAAATCGCCATGGGGGATTTTAAGCGCAAGAGGACCAAATGATGCTCTTATATTGTCATAAGTGTTCTTAATCTACTCCTTTATTGTTTGAATGAGTATATATGTGCTTAAATACCCTTTAAGCTCATTTGAATGCCTGTTTTGAGGTCACAGTTTATATAATTAAGAATTTCAAAATTCAGGCCAACACCTCTCATGGGGGATATCCCCCATAAATCGGGATAGTTGGCAGGTCTGGACTACTTAAGTAGTTTCAGCTTTTGTAACACTGCTGGTTAATATCAATATCATGTTTTTCAACTATTTCTAGTCTACCTAAAAATCCTTTGAGAAAATATGTCAAATTTATGTGGTCTGATTGGTTGATTAATTGCTGTTTGTTTTATTTCAAGGGGCAAATCTTTCATGCATACTCTGGGTGAGTAAATACAAATGCACTTAGGCTAGCTTTATTTATGTATACATTGTAATAAATAATATTTCAAGTTGTTGTCAACCTCCTTTACGAAAGTTTGAAGATGTCTGATGTCAATATTGGAATGTACTCTAGGAAATATAAAACACCATTTTATTCATGTTTTATAAAATATCTCCAAAAACTGCAACAGAGTCTAGTAGGTCAACTTTTTCATTATTATGTTTTCAAGAGGAATAAATCCAATAAAATTTCAATTGGCACTGTTTTTCTTAGTCAAGAATTGCAACCAACACAAAATTATGATCCTTATGATAGTTTTTGAACTCAAAGGAAATATTGCTGATATAAATTTGATCAAAATCTATAGATAACTGTAAGGATGATAGCCATTACATGGCAAAGGGTGGGACAATACCACACATTTCTGAATCTCACACAGAACAAAACCATTCTACAACATGAGAAATTAAGCATATAGTTCACAGATTCTGCTTTCTTCACTGAATATTTACAAATCAACATCATTTGCTTCAATCCCTTCCATACTGCTCAAGATTACTTTTCTCCAACAAAACTACCCACATTAAATCTTTAACGAAAATTAAAGCTGTCATAAATTATTCCTTAATAAACAAAAGGGTCAAACAATGGTGATTTTTTTTTATTACAGGCAAAGATTACAAATAAATATGAAAATTATAATACTTTATTATAGACAATATAGTGTAGTATATCAAGTTAACAAGCAGTTAATGAAGATGAATAACAAATTATAGTTTTGATCATGTACAAAATCTTACATCAAAAGGTAATAAACAAAGTTGGAACATACATTCCTTTAGAAAACAATGATCATTTAAAGATGCTCTGCTATGATTTAAAATCATTTTACCACTTTCAGTTGCCAATTCTATTTGTTTGGACATTTCTATATGTATGCAAAAGCATTGTTTTTCTTTGTATCATACTCTTGTATTTGTAAAAAGAAAATGTCAATGTCATTCTATGCCTTTTCAGGCAATATAAATAATTATGTATACATTAAATTATCAAAACCCTATATAAGTACATGCTTCAAATAACAGTTTACTGCTATAAAATGTGGCAGATGCTAAACTTTACAAAGTATACCATGCAATCATTTAATTTTGTTGGTACCATCATTGAAATAAAAAACTTCTTTAATTAAGGATTTCTGATTTCATAGTTTCCCTTTTTAGCTTGGTTTTTATCAAAACAAATAATTAAGAAACATTAAATATGGATTAAATCTGATATAGTCTTTATCTTAATTTTTACATTTTTTGGTAATTTTATCACACATTGGTTACTATCTTAGATTTCCAATCAGCACAAAAACCATAAAGGAATTTGGGTTTAAAACAATATCCTAGAAAATCCTTCGATAATTATAGTACTTTTTTTTACAGAAAATGTATATCTGATTTGACACCAAATTAAATCAAGAGCAGAAAAAAGTGCCATAGTAATATCTTGCACTCAGTAAACATATTTTGTCACCTAACTTGATCTTTTCTGAATAAATTTCTATTTTCAGAAATAAAGTTAGCTGTATTATCTTAACTCATCTTCAGATCACAAGTTAGTTTTGGTCAAATGTGTGGCAAACAATTTCCAATAATTCCATCATGTAAATTTAAAGTTTTCAACAAAACATAAAAAAAATTGTTTTTCAAAATCATCCCAATCATTTGCGTATTGATAATACAATTCTGCAGTTGCAAGATGAAAGTAACTTCAATCTTATTCCCTTCATGTACTATGATTAATGCAAATGAAATAAGTAAGGGAAAATTTTGAAAGTTAATTCATTTATTGGTCCTGTTATAAACAAAGCTACAAAAGAATTTCATTATGAAAAAAACGGATGGAATATACAATCAATAAATTCATAATTATTATTTACATATTTTCAATACTTTTCAGCTTACAATGTAATAAGATTATACCTTTTATAAACTGAATTTTAGTCTAAGATCTATGATGGACCCTCATTAAACCATCAACTTCATAGTCATAAGTCAAACCTCATGCAGTTAGCATAATTTACATATAATCATGATCTCTTTAAAAGCAATTTGATTATGGTTTTAAGTGCAGAATGAAAATGAATCAGATTTTGTAGCGATTGGTTTGTAATCACATATGAAAAGACAAATTGAAGAAGATGTTATAAAACACATTTGATGTTTATTCAAATATTTGGCTATTTTTTTGTCCACATTATTGTAAAACTAAAAAGACAATACAATATGTTTGATCCATATCATTGCCATTACCAGAAATACTCTTTTACTATATGCTGCTTTCTCACGTCATTTAAACATTTTATGGGCTAACTGGATCCCTGCATCCTTGAACTGATAAAGAAATTGTGACTGCTTGACATTTTTCAAACACCTGTCTTTATTCTTATGCACATAATCCAACCCTGCCTAAAGAAATATATTAATTTTATCATTTAAAAACAGTTATTGAAGCAGTCATAAGGAAGTTATCCCCATTAGAATATTCATCCCTTAGCTCAACATACTGACGTAGATTTTATGCCCAACAAACGCACAAATAACGTCACCTAAAACCAAACATTTTGACGGAAAGATAAAGATTGGAATCAAGTGTATTCTAACAACTTTTTATTTTCAAGTTAGTCTGTTTTAATATTAAAATGAATGGTTAAAAAAAAAATATGAAAACTTAATTATCAAAGGACAAAAATCTTAGATATAACTACTGTTAATTAGATAGTTCTAGAATTGAACAAAGAAGATTAAAAATCAATCATAGTTTTTTTATGAAATATAATAAATCACTAATTGTAGGAAGTAAAATATACTTCTCATAAAAATTATCTTTTGGAGAGAATTCTGGTTACATTTCAATAAGTCTGAACATTTAAACAACAATGGCAAGGCACATTTTGTGAATTTATAATTGTATGATATTCTAAATTTTAAATCTCATACAAAATATATTTTATACAAATGTTTTACATCAAAAACTGAAAAAAAACTTCATGTCTATATAAAATGAAAATGTGCATGGTATATAGAAATATAATTCTCAGTTATAACAATATGAATAATTCAATAAAAATATTTTTGTTCTTTTCTTTTGTACAAAGTAAAAATCTTTACATATGTATATATATAAATCTTTTATATCTCTTATATAAATATATAGAAAATGTAATAAAAATCTTGTAATAATCTACAAACTGTTTTATATACATTCATGTGTGAAAACTGAAGTTAATCTTGAGAAAGATTGAATTTTGTAGTTCAAATTAATCAATGAATAGTACAAATTTTCAAACATTTGTTTATTTCAGAATATTTGGTTTTTGCCTTAACCACTTGTAAAATCCCACATCCATACACACACTTAACAAAACCTAAAGCTTTTATTGATGTTCCTGGTCTTAATGTGATAGTGAGGTCTTCTTGTATTGTGAAGTTTCACCCTCTCCTATCAGTAAATAAAATTTTAAATAGATACAGGAATGTTTGATAAATTGGTCCAAGATCAAATTATTCAAATTATTTTTTTATTCATATTTTGTAGAAAAATATAAAAAAAAATGTGGTTATTGGAACATTAAAAAAAAATCATGATATAAAACATAAAGGGATGATTAATGAGATGAATATTCATGTCAAAATTAAACATTTTACTTTCCAGAAGCAAATACTTTATTCGTTGCATAGATAAAAAAAAAACATCACAGTTTAAATACAAACATAATTTAATGAATTTAAGATATATCATTTAAAAAAAAAATCAATTTAACTGTTTTTGTTTGATTTGTTATAATTTGTTAGCTGTCAGAATTGAACCTGCAATTCTTATAATCTTAACAGGATATCCAGTATTAAACACAATGTGTTCAATAGTAGATTTTAAATATATAGAGGAAATGGGTAGATTTGTTGTTCAGTCATCAATAATCCTATGGAAAGCAGTCATTCAAGACCACTCTAAACACATCAGGAATAAATCATGTGAATACTTGAATAATTTCTATTGTATCTTTGACACAGTTCTATAGCACTTAAGATGCACTGCAAAAGTATTTATTTACATATTTAAGATATAGAATATTACTGAAATATGCAGAATTAAACTGCAAAAACAAACTCTTTAGAATATTCTAATGTATCATAGTAGTTTTATTTTTAGCTTTTCAGTTATGATGTGGGACTAATAAAACTTGTATAGAATAAATGTCAGATAACAGTTATGCTACTTATAAGTCACATTATTTGAATGTTCTATATACTGTTAATAACTGGCTTTTTTCTCCAATTTCACTGAAACAGTAAAAACAATGTTAACATCTCTAATAATCATCGGTTTCTTTGTAGTTGGGTTCTGCTGATACAAAATAGTCATCAAAGAAATTAAACAAGTATTCAAATGTTGGTCTGTTAGCTGGAACTTTGTCCCAACATTTCTTCATAATGTCATACATAGACTCGGGACACTTGTTTGGCTTCGATTGTCTGTATCCTCTCTCGATCTGTTCTAATACTTCTCGGTTTTGCATACCTTAATGAAAGAAAAAAAAAAAGTAGAAAATTATAATTGATTGACTGATTGTTTGATTATCATCAAGTACAGACGAAATTTTACCAATTAGTAGACTTTTCTGCAGAATGAATATACCAACATGTCTCTTACAGAAATAATTATTAAAATGTAATTAAAAAGTATTAAACATAAAATTTTTGTGAAAATAAAGATCAAATTTTTTTAAAGTTTGACTGTTTCTTTAAATTGTTTGCTGCAGTTCAAATTTGACCCTGCAAGAAAAGATGAATTTCCCCCATCAGAAATGACTTCTTTTGAAGTTTGTCATAGCTTGCAAAAATGTAAAACCACAGGTTTTTTTTGTAATTAGTACCTATTCAAATGTAAATAATCTACAGATAAATATGAAATTGAGTATAATCTATTCAAATTTATTTTTAACAGCTTTTACCTGTTTCTGTGAAATGAAAAATAAAAACTTCCTGTCCAACTTGTTTTTTGGTGACAGGTAGATAAGATGTATATACCGCTTTAATTCTTTTTCACCAGAACTCTATTAAATTATTTTAATATTTCCTTATGATAAATCAATACGAAATTATTTTACAAATTATATCTTTATTTGTACGAGATCTTATATTTACCAGGATATGGTATTTGTCCATGAGTGACAAGTTCTACCAGCAAAATACCATAAGACCATATATCTGATTTGATGGTAAACTTTCCATATAATGCTGCTTCTGGTGCTGTCCATTTTATTGGGAATTTGGAACCTGTGAAAAGTTAAAGGTCCTGATTACATAATGTATACAAAACAATTATAACAAAAGCTTATAGACATTAAAAAATAAAATAAAATTTATGCTTTTTTTTAAAGAATTTTATTGGTTCATTAAATAAAGTATTCCAACTGATGTATGTAGAAAGATTTTAATAATCTGACATTAAATCAATTACAATTGCACATAATTTGTCATTCTTATATGATGTGCTTCTTTACAGTATACAGAACACCTTCTACATAATTTTTTTTTTCTTAATTTTTCCTTTTCAATAGGATTCAAATTTGTTCTTTTGAATCATACATGATATACAATCTTTGCCTTAAAAATTTTGAACAACTAGCATAAATAGCCAAGATACATGAGTACTGGTCTGGAGCATAATGCTGGTGAATAAAGACAAAGACTGGATATATGTTATAACTAAGGTATAGTACCATGTTTTGGGTTATATTCATCATCTTCAATGATCTTGGCCAATCCAAAATCAGCTACTTTAGCTACATTATTATCACCAATCAAAATGTTTCTAGCAGCTAAATCTCTGTGAATAAACTTCTTGGCCTCTAAGAAACCCATTCCACTTGCAATCTGTAAAAATAACAACAAAGTACAACTTGTGTAAATTTCCTAAAAAAAGCAGATATTTCTTAAAGGTTCAAATTTTTTCTGCCATGTTTTATTCTCTGTTTGAGAATCTAAACCAATTTGAAAACTTTTATAACGAAATGTATTTAAGGAATGACTGTAATATTTTTTCTGTCTATGAAGAAATAAAATCAAAAATGTGGTGCACACTGAATAACCCGCATAGCGGGTTATTATAAAGTGTGCACCACATTTTTTATGTTATTTCAAATAGACAGAAAAAATATTACAGTAATTTCTTATAATTTAATTCTAAATTCCATTTTAAACCGGAGTAAACCATGAAAAAACGTTGATGACGTCACGGTCACATGACAAAATTATGTCTATGAGCTGATAAACAAAACAACGTCAGCCAATCAGAAGACACGTTACGTCCAAAATTAAATTATAAGAATATGTATATAGCCATTGTCAATGTAAGTGCCCACACTTCTTAATCCTGCTGTACTGTGTGGGCATTTTGTTTGCTTGTCAAGTTCTTTAAGCAAAGTTGAAAATAAACAAGAGGCTCTCAAGAGCCTGAATCGCTCACCTGTTATTTTTTTTGCTTAAATCTTTCATCAATGATTATTTTGCTTTTTATCCATATGTTCCATTTTAGCCATAGTGTCTATGTTTCTTGACGTACAAGGAAATGAAATACAAAATTTATACTAGATTCATTTTAGAAGATTTTTAAAGTTAAAAAACATAAAACAACTTGTGTAAAATTGTCCTTAAAGGGCAATAACTCCTTAAGGGGTCAATTGACAATTTTGATCATATAAAACTTTTTTGTAGATCTTACTTTACTGAACATTTTTGCTGTTTACAGTTTATCTTTATCTTCAATAATATTCAAGATAATAACCAAAAACTGCAAAATTTCTTTAAAACAACCAATTTAGTGGCAGCAACCCAACAATGGGTTGTTCGGTGTGTCTGAAAATTTCAGGGCTGATAGATCTTGACCTTTTGAACATTTTTACCCGTGTCAGATTTGCTCTAAATGCTTTAGTTTCTGAGATATAAGCCAAAAACTGCATTTCACCCCTATGTTCTATTTTTAGCCATGGTGGCCATGTTTGTTGATGGATCAAAATTTCGGATACAATTCACAAACTAGATTCCTAAAGGAACATTAATTCAAAGTTAAGAAGTATTAGGCACAATAGTTTCAGAAGAGAAGATTTTTAAATGTTAGCAAACTTGATGAACAAAGTGTGTAAAATTGTCTTTAAAGGGCAATAACTCTTTAAGGGGTAAATTGACAGTTTTGGTCATATAAACTTTTTTGTAGATCTTACTTTGCTAAACGTTATTGCTGTTTACAGTTTATATCTATCTAGAATAATATTCAAAATAATAACAAAAAACTGCAAAATTTCCTTAATACCAATTTAGTGGCAGCAACCCAACAATGAGTTGTTCGATTCGTCTGAAAATTTCTAGGCTGATAGATCTTGACCAATTGAACAATTTTACCCTATGTCAGATTTGCTCTAAAAGCTTTAGTTTTTGAGATATAAGCAAAAAACTGCATTTGACCCCTATGTTCTATTTTTAGCCATGGCGGCCATGTTTTTTGATGGATCAAAACTTCGGATACAATTTATAAACTAGATACCCTAAGGAACATTTAGTTAAAGTTTGAAGGTATTTGGCCCAGTAGTTTCAGAGGAGAAGATTTTTGAAATAGTTTACAACGACAGACGACGACGGACGCCAAGTGATGGCATAAGCTCACATGGGGCCCTTTGGGCCCTGGTGAGCTAAAAAAACAAACAGTTAGAGCTGTTCCTTTGCTTATGACAATTGTCAAATTTGTTTATAACTGATAACTGTATACCATTACAATGTTTAACCTTTATTAATCCAGGTTCAGACTTTTCATTCTAAAAAAAGGTTTCAAATAAAAAAAAAGACTTAATTTTCTTTGAATACAATGCAAAAGTAATCCTACTGTTTACTAATATTTTTTATCATATCTTTTAAAAATGAACACCTAAAACTAAAGTAGAATATATGTAAGAGTCTTGAAGTAGATGCAATGAAACAGTCAATGTGAGTTTGTTCATGCTATGAATCTAGAGTGAATAATTGCGACAGTTTAAAAAAGGGCCCCAACTTTTAAGTCATCTCAAAATGACCGAAATTGTGTGAAAAAATTTCCAGATCCTTGTGTAAGACACAGTGTACGGACAATGTTACACTTTCTTGATAAGAACTTTCAGTTTTCTTTGTACCTTATACTATTATACCTTGTTTCACAAAGAGTATACTTAGTAAGAATGTCAGAATTAAGAATATGTCACATTCAATTGAATTTTGTTCCAACACTGTTTATTTTGTTATCTCGAGAAAAATATATTTTGCAATTAAAGAAAACGGTTGCGCCTTTAACAGAATGAGCGTATTAGTCTCCATGTTGAAACTTATAAAAAAATTAAAAACAAAACAAAATTTTTTTAAAAACAAGAATATGTGGCCATTATTCAACATTTCGATTTGATTTTTTGATTTTTGGTGTTTTAACGCCACTTTTAAGCACCGCTTTTGGGCTATTTCGTGGCGGCCAGTTTTTATTGGTGGAGGAAGCCAGAGTGCCCGGAGAAAACCACCAACCTTCGATAGGAAAACTGACAATCCTAGTCAATTAAGATTGGAGTTGAGTGCACCCGCACGAGCGGGGTTCGAACTCACAACCTCAGTGTTGACTGGCTAGTGATTTCAGTAGTAACTACTTAGACCACTCGGCCACCAAGGCCCCTTTCAACATTTCCATGATTTTGAAATAAAAATGCATTAAAAAATTTATGAATTTACAGAAACTTAAACCAGAATTTGAACCTGATATGATACAGAAAAATGGATGAACACAGACACAGAGGGGAAAACAATATGCCTCCTACTGTCATATCATAAGATTTAAATTATGAATCATGTGAAAAATATTGACTCACTTATTCACAACAAAGTGAACGGTTTTACTTGAATGTAATAAATCAAGTTTAAAACATGCATTATTCTGCACCCTGAATATAACAGTGTCAATATTATTACCTGTGCAGCAACATCAACTAACTGTGGGAATTTCAACTGTTGTCCTTCATCTGAACGTAGATGGTCCAATAGACTGCCCTTTGACATTAATTCTGTTACAATATATATAGGTTCACCATCAGAACAAACAGCATATAGTCTTACTAACTTATCATGTTTACATTGCTTCATGATGAATGCTTCAGCTAAGAAAGCTTCTGTAGACATTGTTCCTGGTTTTAATGTTTTTATAGCTACTGGCGTGGTCTTGTTCCAAGTACCTTGCAAAATAAATAAAACATCATGAAGAAATTACAAATGTTATCTTTTCAATTCAAGTTTCCATAACATCATAACAGTATTCAAAAGCACTGACTTAAAGGAGTTTGGGAATGATGAAATCCTCTTGTGATTATTATTATAGCATACTTCCAACAAAAGATAACAGGAACTACCTGATACCAAAAAATATTAAACAGTACAAAAGATCACACTAAACACAAACAACTCACTTCTCTTGAGAAAATAAACATACAACCAACAAACAAAAAATGGTCCAATATCCTGACACACCTTATCCTTTGCCTATCTAGACCATGTGTGGTCAAACATTTTTGTCATTTAGTTTTAAAACATAACAAGGAATGAGCTGTGGTTCATAAGTAATTGCCTGGAAACAACATTAAGTGCCATTTTCCAATAGTTCAAGGACTATAACACCTGAATGGTAAAAGTGAAAATCGTCAATAATTAACTTGACCTCCATTTTGTTATCAGTAACAATATATTATATTTTGAAAACCATTGGAAGAAGGGTTCATAAGTTATCGAATGGAAACTACATTAAGTGCCATTTTCAAATATATCAAGGACCGTAACTCCTGATCGGTATAAGTGAAAATAGTCAATATCAAACTTGACCTCTATTTTGTCATTAGTATCGACATATTAAAATTTGAAAAGAATTGTCTGAGTGGTTCATAAGTTATTGCAAGGAAACTGTTGGCAGCTGCCCAGGCGTCACACCCAGTACTTCACTAATTTAATAACTGGATTTTTTCTTGTCGAAAACCCAGTTAAAAGTAAATAAATGGAAAATGTGTCCCCATAGACACAGATGATGCCCCAGCTTGCATACAACATTATAAAGGGACATAACTCAAAAACAATAAAAGTGACGCTACCCAAATTTGTACTAGATCTGAATTTTGTGGTAATAAGTATTGTGTATAGGTTTCATAATGTTTGGTTGGGGCAAACTTAAGTTACAGAACGGAAACTAAAAATTTTGCAATTTTTCGATTTATAAAGGGGCATAACTTGATAATGGTTAAAGTGACGCCACCAAAATTCAACTTGATCTTTGTTTTGTGGTAATGAGCATCGTGAATAAGTTTCATAACATTTGGTTGAGGCAACTTAAGTTAGAGAACGGAAACTAAAAATTTTGCATTTTTTTTTCCCCATTTATAAAGGGGCATAACTCGAGAATGGTTATAGTGACCCCACCAAAATTCAAACTTGATCTGTGTTTTGTCGTAATAAGCATTATGTATAAGTTTCATAACATTTGGTAGAGGCAAACTTAAGTTAGAGAATGGAAACTAAAATTTTTTTAATTCTTTCATTTATAAAGGGGCATATTTCTAGAACGGTTAGAGTGACGCTACCAAAATTCAAACTTGATCTGAATTATGTGGTAATAAGCATTGTGTATAAGTTTCATAACATTTGGTTGAGGCAAACTAAAGTTAGAGAATGGAAACGAAAAATTCAGCAATTTTTCCATTAATAAAGGGGCATAACTCTAGAACGGTTAAAGTGTCACCAAAATTCAAATTTGATCTGTATTTTGTGGTAATAAGCATTGTGTATAAGTTTCATAACATTTGGTTTAGGCAAAATCAAGTTAGAGAACGGAAACCAATTTTGGGACGTACGGATGTACGTACATACAGACGAACAAGGGTAAAACTTAATGCCCCCTCCGCTACGGCGGGGCCATAAAAACACAATCAAAAACCGGCACAGCGAATGAAGGATGTGTTCCCTACTAAGTTTAACCAAAGATTAAAAAATTATTATATGCTGTTTCTCTTAAACATGCTCTATTTAGAAGTATTCGTAAAGATTGGTCAGTTCATAGTTTGAATTTAAAATGTCTTGATCTGTTGACATGTCTTCCTTCCCATGTGTTCTGTGTGAGCTAACATTATAAAAATCTAGTTCTCTTATGTAGTAGGATTTATATTCATATCGTATAAGCAAGATCACCTAATCCAACTATTCGTCATCATCTTTAATGAATTAATCTGCTAAATACCTGCTAATGTCATTTCTTGTAACAAGATTTATTCTATGCATTGTATTAACATAATGCATATATTTCTACAAAAAAGAATTAACTGATTGTTTGAGTATACCTCTCCACACTTCACCAAACTGTCCAGCACCAAGTTTGATATCCATTGTTAAAGCATCTCTTGAGATTTCCCACGCATCTTTGGTATCTCTTGACAAATCATCCATAACTGGCTTTGGTTTCTGACACGGTTCAATTAGCTGACGACACAGACCATCTGGACCTTCTGCAATTGGATTTTAAAAGAAAAAGAAATCAAGCATAGTTCAGGAAGGTATAAAACGAAAATTCAGGTGGCTACTATGCCATATTGTTATTTGTGTGAAAAATCAGGATGAAAAAATCATTTACAAAAGCCTCAAAGCCCTTCCCATCCCCCCAAAATATGAAATGACCATCATCTGAGCAGTCACAAAAATATTAAAAACCAATGAAATGATATGAAGATCTAACAATTTTAATGTTTAAGGTTTTGTTTTATCCATTATTGTCAATGTTGAAAATAAAAATCCTCATTACAGGTAAATGAATCCAATCAGGAATCCTCTGACAATTTGATTAATTAGCAGTAGATCTTGACTTCCTATCTTTCTTGCTCCAGTCAGATCTACTATATCTTTCAAAATAATTGACAATTATTTGCTTTTCAGCCCTATTTTCTGTTTTTAGTCAATAGTGGCCATGTTGGTTGAGAGATATCAATGTTGTTTATTACTTACGTGAATAATGATTTACCAGCTCTGGTAGTGAGCTCATTACTCTTCTTGCTGCTATGTAAAATCCTCCGTTATTATCCATGTTACGGATCTTGTAATGTTTAACAGTTGGTCCTTTAACTTCATCATTGTCACGTACAGATAATACAAAGTTACCTAAAATAACAAGTTCAATGTTTACTGTTCTTATCCAGTGTTGTTTTATTTCAAGAATGAAATGCCCTATGCTTTCCAATTATATCCAAAAATTCAGCCTATCAACTGACAAGCTTGCAATCCCTTTTAGTCTAATCAATGTGGTGCTAGTTATTTGCCAGCAAGGCTCAACTTTTTTAAGCGTCTTTTGATGTATATATAATGTGAAAATGCTATCTTGTTTTCTTTAGTTGCCTGAGAGATTAATACCGTATAGCAGGTTATTTTCGCGATTTAGGGGCAACAAAGTATACGAAAAATTTTGGCGGTTTTTATATTGGCGGATTCTTTAATCACAATTAAATATTTTTGCAGATACTGAAATGGTTGCAGTTAAAAAGTTGTAAAAATTGACAAACAAGGGTCTATTGTTATGGTTAAATGTTTGTTTTACGTGCATGACCTGCATACAGTTAATCAATAGAATACCGGTAAATAGTTATTTGTCATAGGTGTACAATCTTCTTGTAAATGTTACGGTTTATTTTATTATGTAATGAATAAACTAATAAACACCTGACAGCCAGTGAAAAATGGCCTTTGGCCTTTATGTTGTTTTAATTAACATAAACCGTTATTGATCTGTCAAACAGGAAAAAAAAGTTTCCAAAAAACGCTTTAGCTGTTAGAAAGTATCGAACGTATGCCTAATTTTTCGCGGAATTTATTTTCCCGATTTCCCCTGACCCGTCAAAATAAGCGAAAATAACCCGCTATACGGTATTATGTTCATATTTCTAAAAACATTGTGTGAATAAAATGCTCCGCAGGGCGCAGCTTGATACGACCGCAGAGGTCGAACCCTGAACAGTTGGGGCAAGTATGGACACAACATTCAAGCTTGATACAGCTCTGAATTTGGATTGTGATTAAATATTTGACACAGCATAGGTTTCTGACACAGAATGAATGTGGTCTAAGAACTTAAAAATTTTAAATTGGACATTCACCTGTTATGGTCCAATATCCAAAATCTAAATACATGGTTAGATTCAGCATATCAAAGAACCCCAAGAATTCAATTTTTGATGAAATCAAAACAAAGTTTAATTTTGGACCCTTTTGACCTCAATGTGGACAAAGTTGATAACGGGGCCCAAAAATCAAAAATCTAAATACATGGTTAGATTCAGCATATCAAAGAACCCCATATATTCAATTTTTGTTGAAATCAAACAAAGTTTAATTTTGGACCCCGATTTGGACCAACTTGAAAACTCGGCCCATAATCAAAAATCTAAATACATGTTTAGATTCAGCATATCAAACAACCCTAAAAATTCAATTTTTGTTAAAATCCAACTAAGTTTAATTTTGGACCCTTTGGACCTTAATGTAGACCAATTTGAAAACGGAACCAAAATTAAGAATCTAAATACAAGGTTAGATTCGGCATATCAAAGAACCCCAATAATTAAAATTTTTGATGAAATCAAACAAAGTTAAATTTTGGACCCTTTGGACCTCAATGTGGACCAATTTAAAAACAGGGCCCAAAATCCAAAAACTTAATACACGGTTAGATTCAGCATATTAAAGAACCCCAAGAATTCAAGAATAAAACCCCATTGAAATTGATCAAGAAATAAGCAATTTATAGGAAGTATCTTCTTTTGCACAATACTGTGCAATTGAATATTTCTTGCTATTGCGCAATACTGTACAATTGACAATTTCTTGCTATTGCGCAATATTGTGCTATTGGATATTTCTTGCTATTGCGCAATACTGTGCAATTGAAGATTTCTTGCTATTGCGCAATACTGTGCAATTGAAGATTTCTTGCTATTGTGCAATACTGTGCAATTGAAAATTTCTTGCTATTGCACAATACTTATTATATAATAATTTACACATCCTGTTTGGTGTGTATCTCCTACCATATCATTATTACTTGCTTTTAAATATAAATCAGAAATAACCATCTTAAAATGGAAAATTTTAAAAGAAAAAAAAAAGGAAAAAAAGAAAAAAAAAGAAAACCCCCCCCCCCCCCCCCAAAAATTTTTTGAACCCCTTATGATTCATCACCCCCAAACTCAATCCCAGCCTTCCCTTTGTGGTATGGTACCTTGCAGTACAATTTCAGAGAGATCCATACACTTAAACACAAGTTATTGTCTGGAAACTAGAAAAAATGCTTATTTTTGGCCCCTTTTTGGCCCCCAATTCCTAAACGTTTCGGGCAATTACCCCCAAACTCAATTCCAGCTTTCCCTTTGTGATATGGAACCTTGTAGTACAATTTCAGAAATATCCAAACACTTACACACAAGTTATTGTCATGAAACTAGAAAAATGCTTGTTTTTTGCCCCTTTTTTGGCCCCTAATTCCTAAAATTTTGAGGCAATTACCCCCAAAATCAATTACAGCCTTCCCTTTGTGATATGGAACCTTGTGGTACAATGTCAGAGAGATCCATACACTTACACACAAGTTATTGTCTGGAAGTTACAAAATGCTTATTTTTGGCCGCTTTTTGGCCCCTAATTCCTTAACTGTTGGTACCATAACCCCCAAAATCAATCCCAACCTTCCTTTCGTGGTCTTGAACCTTATGGTAAAATTTCATGGAGATCCATTCACTTAAACTAAAGTTAGAGTGCGAAAACCAATGTGTCTTCGGACGACGCCGGACGACGCCAGACGACGACGACGACGCCAACGTCATACCAATATACGACCAAAAAATTTTTAATTTTTGCGGTCGTATAAAAAGTGTTTTTGTCAAAGTTGGTTGCCATGAATAGATTTTTTTAATAATTTAAACATCATACAGCTAGTGCTAATTTTGTATGTTGTGTGTCAATCCATAAATGTTTTATTTCTTTTTCATTTTGAAGCCATATTTACTGTAGACTGAAATGGCCAATGTAATTCTTCATTCTTTTAATGAAAATAATTGCTTTAAACTGCATTTGATTATCAAATGAAAATTCAAAATAGAATGCAGCAATTCTGACAAGCTTAATTCCATTCCAAATTAAACAATATGTTGTACCTCCCCTTCCATTACCCTGGGAAAGAAAGATAAAGGAAGACAACATTATTGTGTCGCAGCAAAATATAGCTGAAATATGATTGGATGAGGTTGGCATTCCTGCTTGTGAAGCATAGCAAAGAAGGTATTGCACCACAACTGACATCATAGCATTTTCACAGATAGATTGAAATAAGCACAGGTTAACCCCTTTCGAAAAAGAATGACCTTATTAAAAACAAATTACAGACCTGTCACTTTTCTTCCAATTTTGTCTAAAATTTTTAAAAAGGTTTTTGAATTACATTTGTCTGATTATTCAGAGAAAATATTGAATCCCTTTTTATGTGCTTATTAAAGTGAACATGAATGTCAGATCATACTGCTAAGATTGCTGGAAGACTGATGTGAAGCCATTAAGAATAAAATGCTCCGCAGGGCGCAGCTTGATACGACCGCAGAGGTCGAACCCTGAACAGTTGGGGCAAGTATGGACACAACATTCAAGCTTGATACAGCTCTGAATTTGGATTGTGATTAAATATTTGACACAGCATAGGTTTCTGACACAGAATGAATGTGGTCTAAGAACTTAAAAATTTTAAATTGGACATTCACCTATTATGGTCCAATATCCAAAATCTAAATACATGGTTAGATTCAGCATATCAAAGAACCCCAAGAATTCAATTTTTGATGAAATCAAACAAAGTTTAATTTTGGACCCCGATTTGGACCAACTTGAAAACTGGGCCCATAATCAAAAATCTAAATACATGTTTAGATTCAGCATATCAAAGAACCCTAAAAATTCAATTTTTGTTAAAATCAAACTAAGTTTAATTTTGGACCCTTTGGACCTTAATGTAGACCAATTTGAAAACGGAACCAAAAATTAAGAATCTAAATACACGGTTAGATTCAGCATATCAAAGAACCCCAATAATTCAATTTTTGATGAAATCAAACAAAGTTAAATTTTGGACCCTTTTGACCTCAATGTGGACAAAGTTGATAACGGGGCCCAAAAATCAAAAATCTAAATACATGGTTAGATTCAGCATATCAAAGAACCCCATATATTCAATTTTTGTTGAAATCAAACAAAGTTTAATTTTGGACCCCGATTTGGACCAACTTGAAAACTGGGCCCATAATCAAAAATCTAAATACATGTTTAGATTCAGCATATCAAAGAACCCTAAAAATTCAATTTTTGTTAAAATCAAACTAAGTTTAATTTTGGACCCTTTGGACCTTAATGTAGACCAAAATGAAAACGGAACCAAAAATTAAGAATCTAAATACACGGTTAGATTCAGCATATCAAAGAACCCCAATAATTCAATTTTTGATGAAATCAAACAAAGTTAAATTTTGGACCCTTTGGACCTCAATGTGGACCAATTTAAAAACGGGGCCCAAAATCCAAAAGCTTAATACACGGTTAGATTCAGCATATTAAAGAACCCCAAGAATTCAAGAATAAAACCCCATTGAAATTGATCAAGAAATAAGCAATTTATACGAAGTATCTTCTTTTGCACAATACTGTGCAATTGAATATTTCTTGCTATTGCGCAATACTGTACAATTGACAATTTCTTGCTATTGCGCAATATTGTGCTATTGGATATTTCTTGCTATTGCGCAATACTGTGCAATTGAAGATTTCTTGCTATTGTGCAATACTGTGCAATTGAAGATTTCTTGCTATTGTGCAATACTGTGCAATTGAAAATTTCTTGCTATTGCACAATACTTATTAGATAATAATTTACACATCCTGTTTGGTGTGTATCTCCTACCATATCATTATTATTTGCTTTTAAATATTAATCAGAAATAACCAACTTAAAATGGAAAATTTTAAAAGAAAAAAAAAAGGAAAAAAATAAAAAAAAATAAAAAAAAAAAATCCCCCCCCAAATTTTTTGAACCCCCTTATGATTCATCACCCCCAAACTCAATCCCAGCCTTCCCTTTGTGGTATGGTACCTTGCAGTATAATTTCAGAGAGATCCATACACTTGAACACAAGTTATTGTCTGGAAACTAGAAAAATGCTTATTTTTGGCCCCTTTTTGGCCCCAATTCCTAAACGTTTCGGGCAATTACCCCCAAACTCAATTCCAGCTTTCCCTTTGTGATATGGAACCTTGTAGTACAATTTCAGAAATATCCAAACACTTACACACAAGTTATTGTCATGAAACTAGAAAAATGCTTGTTTTTTGCCCCTTTTTTGGCCCCTAATTCCTAAAATTTTGAGGCAATTACCCCCAAAATCAATTACAGCCTTTCCTTTGTGATATGAAACCTTGTGGTACAATGTCAGAGAGATCCATACACTTACACACAAGTTATTGTCTGGAAGTTACAAAAATGATTATTTTTGGCCCCTTTTTGGCCCCTAATTCCTTAACTGTTGGTACCATAACCCCCAAAATCAATCCCAACCTTCCTTTGGTGGTATTGAACCTTATGGTAAAATTTCATGGAGATCCATTCACTTAAACTAAAGTTAGAGTGCGAAAACCAATGTGTCTTCGGACGACGCCGGACGACGACGACGACGCCGGACGACGACGACGCCAACGTCATACCAATATACGACCAAAAAATTTTTAATTTTTGCGGTCGTATAAAAATCAGTTCATTGCTGCAGTACTTATTGATATTCCTAAAGCTTTTGATTGTTTACCCCATGATATTTTTTTACATAAATTGTCTTCATATGGTTTTTCTTCAAAATTGGCTGATCTTAAATCTTATTTGACAAAAGAAAACAGCAGATTTAAATAAGCAGCATTCTGAGCAGTTGGGCTGACATCACTAAAGGTGTACCATAGGTCTCAATTTTGGGACTCTTATTATTTAATGTTTTCATCAACAAAATGTGAGTTTTGATTTCAACCCCTTTGGAACCAATTAAATGTTTCTGAACTGAAAAAAGTTGATGTTTGGTTAGAGGAATGCATTAAAGAACATTTTTGTATTGTTACTAAAAAAAGGAACCAAAAGGGCCTGGAATATGATGTGTTGCATTTTCATTGGCACTCAGTAGATATTGTCTGCATGTGCTACTGTTTTAGTGTAAGTTAGATGTTTTATATATTCAGATAAAAGCTCTATAGAGCTTACTAGTATGTTTTGTTGTTTTATAAGAGCAGCACACCTCAAGACCTATTTGATGGCAATATTAAAACAATTCAAACTTCTTTTTACAAAAGGTTTGGTATCATCCATCACCACATGTTACTGTAGATTCATTTATTTTCATTGGTACCAATTATTGTGGATTTAGGAAAACTAGTTTTTTATGGATATTTTATTTTAAGTTTGTCAAAATCGGCATTCAAGCCTATAGAAAAATTTGTACTCCATTGAATATTTAAATTGGTCGTTTAACTATACCAATGACATCCATGATAATTGGTGTCCCACAGATAATAATGAATCCACAGTAACAAGAAGAAACCAATCAATTAGTTCAGTTATATATGTGGATTTGACTTGACACATTGTTCATTGAGTGGAAACGTATATTCAAAACACATTTTTCTGTCAGTGAAAGCATATAATGTAGTATTTTGCCAGCAAAATTTAGAGATTTGACGCTACTAAAAAAAATCAGCAAAAAGATGTACACAAGAAATACCTGGACTTGTTTCACTTTCTCTAATAAGGTATGATCCAGCATTGTTTTCTCTACTCAGTAATAATCTCTCTGTTTCTTTTCTTGAGAAGGATCCCATAAACCACCTAAATAACAAATCAATCTTTAGTTTATTTAACCAAACAAAAGAAAAAACTATGAAGTTTTACTGTTTTTGATATTGTGTTTGTGTAAAAAATGCTGGAAGTCTTTCTATAATTTGAATCATATTTCAAATAAATCATCCATATTTGTTAGTATTGTCTGTACATTATTTAAACTGTAAGCAAAACTACCACAATGTCTCACAAAAATAATTAGCAATGAATAATTTATAAAAATACAAAATAATAATTCCTATCTCATTTGCATATCTGCAAATACTCTGTGATTGGCTACTGTTGCCAACAATTTCATTTTGTGATAAATTCTTTGTCTAAACATGACCATATAATACTTCCATGGTCTGAACAACTGCTGTCTGAACAAATTCTTCCAGGTGTTGTCTCCCTTGATATTAAATGACAATTTTATGTTGCACAGTAACAATAGTTGACTCATTGGCATTTTTGTGTTGGATTGAAATATACTGTAAAATGACTTATTTTCACAGATACATTTTTGCATTCCCTTTCTAGCCCATTTGGCTGCATTAATTATATATTTTCATAATTGTAAAGTTGTTGGTGTACTAATGTATTAAAGATAAGATCTCAAGTAAACATTCCTGAAGATTTTTGTTTTGAGTTATTTTTCTACTCAAGAAAGTTGCAAAAATAAATCAATCGAGAATATTATTACCTGTTGTCAATTTTCAAAAATAGAACTGTTTGTCAGTAAATTTCATCATTACGACATAGACTCTAAATGGGTAGTTTGAAATATTTTTCTCTATTGCATTTTTCTTTAGTGGAAGATAAGATGTAAAAGAATAAAATGTAGATTTTTATGAATTTATTAATGTATAGTACAGACCAATGTCAGACAAACTTATTATAAATCATACCAATCATATGGACTTAAAATAACTTTGTGATTACATACACATTGATAAAGTAAAAAAAAATAGAGATTGATTCCACAGAACTGTCTTCAAATCTTCAGAGAAGTTATCACAACCACTATTATCAATACTATCATATATATGTGTGTGGTATTCACATTCAAATTCATGTTACTTCAGACGACACCATTCACAAATGATTGATGTTTTTGTTTAAAAAAGATACTGTGATGTCCCAAAGGAGTAGGCTCAGTAAGACCCCTTTTTGGCCCCAAAATATAGCAGTTTTACAAAATTGTTAAAATGTAAACTTGTAGCTATTTATTGGAAAGTACAATACTTCTGTGACATAAATATGGGCTGTTTTTGACAGTACGATGCACATGTATCGGATACTAGCATCATCAAGTCATGCTTATTTACTGAAATCATAATAATTTTAGCATTTGAGTTGATTTTTAGACCATTTCCGTCTGAAATGGAAGTGGCCACATTTGTGTTAATTCTCAATATTTAAATGTAAGTTGTATTTGATGATAATACATAACATATATAAAGGTTGAGAATGAACACGGATGCGGCCACTTTCATTTTTGACGAAAACCATCCGAAAAGTGACATATTATGGCATATTTGATAGATTTTTCATATTTAAGCTTAAACTTGAGCGTCTTTAATGACTAAATCTGTTCAAATCTTTCACATGAACTAATTGAATCGACTGAAGTAGACACTTAAGTGTTTAAAAAGTGTCCAAAATCTTTCATCAGATGAACCTGAATTTTGAGGCCAAAATCGGTCCTTACCGGACCTACTCCTTTCTGTGGGGTAAGAATGCTTTATTCAGAACAATTGACAAAGTGAAAACAGGATACCATATTATAATTGATTATATTCATTGATGCCACAACAAATAGAAACCTAGTGATTAGTCATGTGTACTTTATTCTCTCTTCTTACAGGAAGTTTTAAATTTGCATAAATAGCAGAATAATAAATGGTTTTGAAAGTAAAAAATGTGTGTTATTTTCAATTTGTGTACTTCAAATTATTTAACAAACTATTTGTAGTGTGTGTGTCTGAAAAAAACATGATGACTAGTTAAATTTCTAAATTTCATTCTTCTCTGTAAGCTAACTGGTAGCCTCCATTTAGAACAGTAATATACTTACTCATATGCATAGAGTGAATCCTCTTTAGCTACGTAATTCCTTGGGACATATCCTTCATTTTTATTGTTAGTGTATCGAGGATCTGAATGTCGAGCAAACCACCAATCAGCATCGCTGAAATAAACAAAAGATTTTTAAAGACTTAAAATATGTTAAGGTCTTTACTTCAAAGATTTTTTTTACACAAAACAAATTTAATCAACATGTGGTTTATCAAAATTTATCAAATTGGTCAGAACCAGCATAAATATCAGAGATATATATGAGAAATATCAAATCTTATTACAGTAAATTCAATTAAAATATTACATGACTAAATTTGTATCATAGGAAAAACTTACAGCTTTGAAAATCTGTTCCGAATTTTCTCAAACTTTGATAGCTTCATAATTTGAAATGACTGGTTTCAGTTAATATATTTAATTGACATTGAACGACAAAACTATGATAATTATTGAATCCTTTTATATTGTTTTTAAAGTAATAACTTTATACTGGATTAAATATCTTAAAATAAAAGAAACAGGATATTCTGTTTTAATTTTCATAAATACGGTAAAAAGTACATTAATTACTAAAACATATACATATACCAGCGTGCATATGTATATATAAGGCAATAACAATATTTTATCATTTTCAGGATGCTGTGAAATTTCTTTAATCATTGATTTCAAAGTTAGTTAAAAGCACTACTCAATGACATTTGTATGTTCAATATTGATTTGCCAGTTGTGAAACCATGAATTTAAAATGAAGTTGTACACAATGTTGTGCAAAGTATATCACCACAGGCATAAGACATTTAAGAAATGTTCGATGCTTTATAGTGGGTACAATAAAAATAGAAAATATCCTTTAACAGGAAGTAACTACCAAACAGATCTGATATTTGCTTACTCAGTTCAACTGAACATTACAATGTTCCACACAAAATATCAAACCATTACTTATATAGATGCTGAGAAATATCAAACCATTACTTATATAGATGCTGAGAAATATCAAACCATTACTTATATAGATGCTGAGAAATATCAAACCATTACTTATATAGATGCTGAGAAATATGTACGGATAATGCAAATTATGTATGGACAGACAGACAGACAAGGTGGTTGCAGCAGACAAGGAGGTTGCAGTATAATAAAAATTCACAGACTAATTGTTTTTCCACAAACTACCAACAAATTAATCCAATAGTAGCAGAACTTTCAATGAAGTTACTGCTCTAACTATCTTTAATCTGTATGGTTTTTTTATATGGGTGACTTTTAAATCCACAACAGTACAGTTCATGAAGTTATTCTGCCAATCTATGTTCAATATAAAAGTAATTTGTGAGAGATTTTGCTTCCATATGTTTGTCAAATTTCCTTTCAATGCAATAAAAACTGTTCTTCATTTAGTGTTGACAAAAATCCACATACATAGAAATAACCCAGTCCAAGTATAGCTATGAAAAACCTCCAAAAATACGAAAAAGGTGCAAAATACTTGTAAATTTAATATAAAGTCATTCTGACAAGTTTCATTGCATTCCTATGTAAACTGTTCCAGATTCTTAAGACAAAAAAGTGCCTGTCCTAATATCATAGTATTATTACATGATGACTTCTATCCAGTTTTGTCCAATGTCAATGTACTGGCCGGAAGCCTAGCGTATGGCCAATGTTAGAAGTCTAAAAAGTAAATCAACATGTTATAGTACCTTTTTCAATAACATAAAAGTGGTACGATTTTAATCAAATTTTTCCACTCAGTATTTGTCGAAATGAGTTTGAATACTTTAAGGGCATTACTTATATATTGTAGGAATACTTTTGAGGGCATTACTTTTGTATTGTAGGAATACTTTAAGGGCATTACGTATGTATTGTAGGAATACTTAAAGGGCATTACTTATGTATTGTAGGAATACTTTAAGGGCATTATGTATGTATTGTAGGAATACTTTAAGGGCATTACTTATGTATTGTAGGAATACTTTAAGGGCATTATTTATGTATTGTAGGAATACTTTAAGGGCATTAAGTATGTATTGTAGGAATACTTTAAGGGCATTACTTATGTATTGTAGGAATACTTTAAGGGCATTACTTATGTATTGTAGGAATACTTTAAGGGCATTACTTATGTATTGTAGGAATACTTTAAGGACATTACGTATGTATTGTAGGAATACTTTAAGGGCATTACTTATGTATTGTAGGAATACTCTAATAAAATGACTTATGTATTGTAGGAATACTTTAAGGACATGACTTATGTATTGTAGGAATACTTTAAGGACATTACGTATGTATTGTAGGAATACTTTAAGGGCATTACTTATGTATTGTAGGAATACTTTAATGAAATGACTTATGTATTGTAGGAATACTTTAAGGACATAGGAATACTTTAAGGACATGACTTATGTATTGTAGGAATACTTTAAGGGCATTACTTATGTATTGTAGGAATACTTTTGAGGGCATTACTTTTGTATTGTAGGAAATATTTTAAGGACATTACGTATGTATTGTAGGAATACTTAAGGGCATTACTTATGTATTGTAGGAATACTTTAAGGGCATTACTTATGTATTGTAGGAATACTTTTGAGGGCATTACTTTTGTATTGTAGGAAATATTTTAAGGACATTACGTATGTATTGTAGGAATACTTTAAGGGCATGAATTCGTGAGTGTGCCCAATTGTTCTGTCAAACAAAAACATAGTTGGCACTTTCGGAAGCAATTGTAGTAGAGTTACCAAAATCTTATCAACAAGGTGAAGAAGTTCTCCCATTACAATTAAAAGAGGCAAATTTATCCAATACTTGTCAAAAAGCAAATTTATCGAAGATGAGTAAAAATAGTGGCAATGTTACATATGTGCCTAGGGAAAATGAGATCTAAATCTTTCAACCCTGTCCATGTCATGAGTCGGATGCCTAGATGGTAAATGTTAAACTAAATGTCTTCAGATTGATTTGTTGCACGGAACAAAAAATCTTTTCAAATTACATTCAATGATATTTGTCACATTTTTGTCCTTTAATAGTTAGATTTGAACAATAACACAAATGTACAGTCATTACACAACTTCATAGAATTAATTCAATCTAAAATAAGACTTGAAAATAAAACATCTCTGATCATCTCTAGATTCCTAAGTGCTTTAAAATTGATTACTTATGCAAACTGTGATAAAGAAATATGATAATATAAGTATTAAAGGTATTCTGGGTCAATGATGAATAATTCAACATAGACTACGATTTAAATGTACAGAATTTCTGAACAAGGAAGTTTTTATGAACGAAACTTATATTTTTAGTTCCTGTTAGTTATTGAAACTAAACTTGTTTTAAAACCATTAGATAATGTAACTGATTTCACAGTTTACTATTGTTAGTTTATTTGCTTCCTTTTATTTTTCATAAAATTAGCATCTTTGGTTAAAAAATCTTTAAAACTGTTCAATCCCAGCCAATTATGAAATGCATTTAAAACATGTGAAAATGTTGAATTAATATCAAAATGGATATAATCCTATTTCTAAGAAAAACCTGCTTGATCATTTAAATTATTTTAATTCAATCAACACATTCTTGCTGAATAAATCAGCTCTTACAAAACAGGCAAACAATGTTGCAGAGGTTCTGAACCAATATAAATTCTTGTTAAATCTTTGGAACCTTTAAACTGCACTATTTTACTGAAGTTGAATTTTGGCTCTATACAGGTTAAATTTGCTGCATTTTTCCATTATTAAAATTTTCTCAACACAATTAATATTCCAAAATCTCTAACAAAATGCAGCTTTCACTGTGAATTGACTGTACTTCTGCTCTCTCTATAGAATTTCATTAAAAATCTTGTCCAATTCCCCGTTTCAGATTTTAAAGGACTAATAGCTATTTCATTTTTCAGTCCCCAAATTGGTTTGTTTTTATTGGTTCAGATGCTGTTGCAAATCACAATGTTTTGGTGTACACTTTAGAAATATTACCCATAATGCTTTAGATTATGATAAGACGAATTGGTCTAGTTTTAGGACTTTCATCACAGCAGGGACACATATTGACAGAATTTATGACAGGATAAACTATAATTTACTTCCTTACAATTTATATCACTTATCTCAAATGAATCCTGGTAACTGATTAAAAATAATTTTAAAAGAATCCTTATCAGACATATGTTGACTAAGGGATATTTGCATTATTCAATAGGATTCAAGTATTTTTTAAATGATTTAAAACTGCAACAAATGAAAAACAAATAAAAAGACAGAAAGTAAATAGCACTATTACAACTGAGTGATGTATTTATAACTAAGATCTACTACACCATTCTAATATGGCCCTCACACCATTTCTATCCATGTAATGACAATGACCTAGACCTTGATGTAAAGACTAAAGTTGTGGTTATATCATCTCTCATGCAAAATACATTGCAGTGATAATTAAACACTCTGAGCTTTAATAGACTATTTAGTAATAATTGAGGAACACAAACACTGAGTTGATACCACTACTCTTGTAGAACTGTAAGTCCACAAGGGTTTTATCTGTCCTGTACTTACAGCTTTGTCCCTTTGAAACATATGCTGAAGGACTGTTGTATGACTGTTAGTCCGTAAAGGTTTCATCTGTCCTGTACTTACAGCTTTGCCCTTTTGAAACCAATGCTGAAGGACTGCTGTAAAACTGTTAGTCCACAAGGGTTTCGTCAGTCCTGTACTTACAGCTTTGTCCTTTTGAAACCAATGCTGAAGGACTGTTGTAGGACTGTTAGTACACAAGGGTTTCATCTGTCCAGTACTTACAGCTTTGCCCCTTTGAAACCAATGCTGAAGGACTGTTGTAGGACTGTTAGTACACAAGGGTTTCATCTGTCCTGTACTTACAGCTTTACCCCTTTGAAACTTATGCTGAAATACTGTTGTATGACTGTTAGTCCATAAAGGTTTCATCTGTCCTGTACTTACAGCTTTGCCCCTTTGAAACCAATGCTGAAGGACTGCTGTAAAACTGTTAGTCCACAAGGGTTTCGTCTGTCCTGTACTTACAGCTTTGTCCCTTTGAAACCAATGCTGAAGGACTGGTGTAGGACTGTTAGTACACAAGGGTTTCATCTGTCCTGTACTTACAGCTTTGTCCCTTTGAAGCCAATGCTGATCGACTGTTGTAGGACTGTTAGTACACAAGGTTTCATCTGTCCTGTACTTACAGCGTTGCCCCTTTGAAATCAATTCTGAAGGACTTCTGTAAAACTGTTAGTCCACAAGGGTTTCATCTGTCCTGTACTTACAGCTTTGCCCCTTTGAAACCATTGCTGAAGGACTGTTGTAGAACTGTTAGTCCATAAAGGTTCCTTCTGTCCTGTACTTACAGCTTTGCCCCTTTGAAACCAATGTGCTGAAGGACTGTTGTAGGACTGTTAGTCCATAAAGGTTTCATCTGTCCTGTACTTACAGCTTTGTCCCTTTGAAACCATTGCTAAAGGACTGCTGTAAAACTGTTAGTCCACAAGGGTTTCATCTGTCCTGTACTTACAATTTTGCCCCTTTGAACCAATGCTGAAAACTTGTTGTAGGACTGTTAGTACACAAGGGTTTCATCTGTCCTGTACTTACAGCTTTGCCCCTTTGAAACCAATGCTGAAGGACTGTTGTAGGACTGCTATTACACAAGGGTTTCATCTGTCCTGTACTTACAGCTTTGTCCCTTTGAAACCATTGCTGAAGGACTGTTGTAGAACTGTTAGTCCATGAAGGTTTCATCTGTCCTGTACTTACAGCTTTGTTCATTTGAAACCATGCTGAAGGACTGTTGTAGAACTGTAAATCCACAAGGGTTTCATCTGTCCTGTACGTACAGCTTTGTCCCTTTGAAACCAATGCTGAAGGACTGTTGTAGGACTGCTATTACACAAGGGTTTCATATGTCCTGTACTTACAGCTTTGTCCCTTTAAAACCAATGCTGAAGGACAGTTGTAGGACTGCTATTACACAAGGGTTTCATCTGTCCTGTACTTACAGCTTTGCCCCTTTGAAACCATTGCTGAAGGACTGTTGTAGATCTGTTAGTCCATAAAGGTTTCATCTGTCCTGTACTTACAGCTTTGTTCCTTTGAAACCAATGCTGAAGGACTGTTGTAGGACTGTTAGTCCATAAAGGTTTCATCTGTCCTGTACTTACAGCTTTGCCCCTTTGAAACCATTGCTGAAGGACTGCTGTAAAACTGTTAGTCCACAAGGGTTTCATCTGTCCTGTACTTACAGCTTTGTCCCTTTAAAACCAATGCTGAAGGACTGTTGTAGGACTGCTATTACACAAGGGTTTCATCTGTCCTGTACTTACAGCTTTGTCCCTTTAAAACCAATGCTGAAGGACAGTTGTAGGACTGCTATTACACAAGGGTTTTATCTGTCCTGTACTTACAGCTTTGCCCCTTTGAAACCATTGCTGAAGGACTGTTGTAAATCTGTTAATCCATAAAGGTTTCATCTGTCCTGTACTTACAGCTTTGTCCCTTTGAAACCATGCTGAAGGACTGTTGTAGAACTGTTAGTCCATAAAGGTTCCATCTGTCCTGTACTTACAGCTTTGCCCCTTTGAACTAATGCTGAAGGCTTGTTGTAGGACTGTTAGTACACAAGGGTTTCATCTGTCCTGTACTTACAGCTTTGCCCCTTTGAAACCAATGCTGAAGGACTGTTGTAGGACTGCTATTACACAAGGGTTTCATCTGTCCTGTACTTACAGCTTTGTCCATTTGAAACCATTGCTGATGGACTGTTGTAGAACTGTTAGTCCATGAAGGTTTCATCTGTCCTGTACTTACAGCTTTGTCCATTTGAAACCATGCTGAAGGACTGTTGTAGAACTGTTAGTCCATAAAGGTTTCATCTGTCCTGTACTTACAGCTTTGCTCCTTTGAAACCAATGCTGAAGGACTGTTGTAGGACTGTTAGTCCATAAAGGTTTCATCTGTCCTGTAATTACAGCTTGGCCCCTTTGAAACCATTGCTGAAGGACTGCTGTAAAACTGTTAGTCCACAAGGGTTTCATCTGTCCTGTACTTACAGCTTTGTCCCTTTGAAACCAATGCTGAAGGACTGTTGTAGGACTGTTAGTACACAAGGGTTTCATCTGTCCTGTACTTACAGCTTTGCCCCTTTGAAACCATTGCTAAAGGACTGCTGTAAAACTGTTAGTCCACAAGGGTTTCATCTGTCCTGTACTAACAGCTTTGTCCCTCTGAATCCAATGCTGAAGGACTGCTGTAGAACTGTTAGTCCATAAAGGTTTCATCTGTCCTGTTCTTACAGCTTTGCCCCTTTAAAACCAATGCTGAAGGACTGTTGTAAGACTGTTAGTCTATAATGGTTTAGTCTGTCCTGTACTTACAGCTTTGCAAACCCCAACAAAGTTCTTATAAGGATTTCTTATTCCATCATCAAGAATGAATGATAACAAAATATATATCAAAAATGTATTAACAAAATTAACAATTTCCAAGTCAGATTTAAAATGAAGGAAGACACAAAACCGGACAAAACCAAAGGCTAGGCTTTATGAACCAACAGAATTACTTGAAAACAACTGTCTTACTCCTGACATGGTACAGGCATTTTCCAAATAAAATGATGGATTTTATAGCTAGCTATTGTATGACAGTAAAAAAAATCTACTTAGCTGTCATCAGAGGGAACTTAAAACCTTTTTCCACAAAAAAATATCTTACTTTTCATCCAGCAGGAACAGCAGATCCCCTTTCTTGAATGACAAGTCATCTTCTGCCCTTGCATCATAGTCATATAAAGCTCTTAATGTTCCTTTGTTTGCTGCTGAAATGATAAAATATTGTTCTGAAATTCTACTTACGCCAATTTCAAAATTGAACAACTCTTACATTGGGAGCTGCAATGTCTCATAAAGAATACATCTATACAGAAAACAGAATAGGCTGACAAAATTGTGATATATTTGGTATGTTTGATGGGGCATTAGCTGTCAAATTTACATTCACCTATTGGACCTAAATTACCGGTTATTGCATTTGATTTATAACATACTAAAGTGTTTATCCATATCTTAATTACAAAAAGTCCAAAAAGAAACAATTAACAATGCATGGACTCATTTTAATGTATCAGCATTTCGTGCATATTTGAGAGGAGACACCATCTTATTATTCATTGAGATGACCTCCAAAGACTGTTGATGGACATAAAACCCAATATAAACATAGATATAAATAGACACACAAGCACGTGCAATCATATTATGATGATTTTTCTGGGTCTATTTAATTTCATGTTATAGGTTAAAAATATTCATAAATCATCATTTTACTTTTTTGTGGGTGGATCAGTCAATGCAATGTTTTTTCCTGGTGTCTCCCTTGTTTTACTTTTCAATGTTGATTTTCTTCTCTTTTTTCTGAATGAACATGCTGACCATATGCTGTCAGAACATATGTGCAACCCATTTCCTCTAAGGACCAATAAAGGTTGCATAAATAAAGATTCGAATGAGTTGAATTATTGACTTGCAAGCCAATAATACATCAGCAATGCTTTTTTCAGCTTATTTTGACGAAAATTGAACCAAACCAACTGCTAATAGCGAAATATTATTTATTTATTCTGCATTTATAAATATTTGAAAAAAAACCACATATTTTAATTTTTTGTCTTATTCTTAGCTTATGCCCCTTTAAGCTGCATTTTTGACTTTCTTTATATAGAATTGAGCTATTTTAAAATTTACTAGTACAAAGGAAGCATACATTAAAATGAACAAATATACAAACATCAAAATAAAAGTATTTACATTTGTAACTGTATGAATCATTGTATATTTCAATCTTAAATTTATGCCATATGAGATTTCTCTACAAAAAAGTAAAATAACAAAAATACCAAACTCCAAAGAAAAATTCAAAACAGAAAGACCATTTTCAAATGGCAAAATCAAAAGCTCATATACATCATATGAATGGAAAACAACTGTCATATTCCTGACTTGGTACAGGCATTTCCTTATTTAGAAATGGTGGAAATTTCAATTTCAATTATTTTGGCAAACTATTAACAAATTACAACTGTGCATAATGACCCAGTATATTCTATAAACAGAATTGACATCCAACATTTAAGATAATAAAACCTCAATTGTGAGTGTGTTGCCCAATGAAGGAATTTTTCAGCTTCACAACAGAATAAATCTGACAACACAGATCAATTAAGAACTGTTTTGCAAATTTATTTCATCTTGATAATCGGTGCAATGAGGTCTGTCATAACGTAAGAACTTCAAATTTGTGTAAAGTTCAACCAGCAGAAATAATAATGTTCAGATATATCAAGGTGAAAAGCCTAACAAAGTGAAGCATCTAAATATACTTAAAATCAAGATTTGAAAAACTTTTGCATCTGAAAATGATCTGAAGCTCTCAAAACTTAAAAGTCTGAAACATTGCTGCTAAGAAGTCTGTGGCTCATTGTATTTTTCATGTTACATTAAATACTGTAAATTCAGAAATTATTGCAAGGTTTTTATTAATGCGAATAATGTGACTGGGTGAGTGTTGCAATAATAAGAACTTGCATTCTGATATCTGATACATATAACTGTATGTAGATTTTCAATAACTAATCTCACATTTTTGCCCTTTCTTTAAGAATCGCGCTAATAAATGCACTGATGATTTCTGAATTTACAGTAAACTAAAATATGCCATAATCATGTGAAGATCAACATTTTATCAAAACTGTAAATACATGTATTTATTTATTCATATTTATACATATACTTGTAAACACAGGAATCTATTTCACCATATATATATATTTATTTTTACTTTCATCACATTCAAATAAACAAAAAAGTTTTCAGTTTTCATTCACATAAACACAAATGACAGGAAAACATGACCCAAAAAATGCATAATTTACCTATAGATTAAGGAAAGGCAATAATAAAATAAAAATGAAAAAAACTTCCCCTAAATATAACATTTCATTACACTTTTCCTGAACATCAATTGTAGGAAAGGGCTAGTGTAACAAGTCATCTCCCGGTACACGTCGTAGTACACAAAAGGACATTAAATTAACTACAACATATTTAATTTGTGTATATGAATTTTTGTAAATGCTGCTTTATTATTAGTTCCTAAACAAATGTGAAATATAAGAAGACCCTTGAACAAATGTGTAACTTTAACCCTTGGTTTAATCAACAGCATAAAATTATAGACATATCTATAACCATTTACTTACTTAATTTGTTTTCGGAGGGGGGGTACTACCGGTAGTGTAGATCTTTTCAGAAAGAGAGCCCTCAGTATCTGGTGGATAGTTGTCTCATTGGCAATCATAACACATATCCTTATTTCTCACATTTCTTGAAAAAAAAACTGTATGGATATTCATTACTACACTAGACATGTTAAAAAAAAACTACAAGGTTTGATATGAAACTGATAACCTAGAAGTCAGCTTGATATAAAGAGGAAACAGCATAAAGGTAAAGACAAGTATACAATTCTACATAATCTGAAGGCCAATTTTCTACAAATTTGCAAATATATTTGAAACCATTCTTTGATATGTAGTATAATCTATTCCTAATCTTCCTACAGGAGGTTTTGGGAGGTTGTGGCGCCCTGCACCATTTTTTGTACAAATTTTTGGTACCATGCCCTTTTCTGTCGTATTTTAAAGACAGTTGCACTATCAAGATTCTATTTGCTGCTTCTAGAAGTGACAATTCTATTCCAAAAAGGAATTGAATTAGTAACCTAATAAACATATCTTTATTTCTTAACTAAATATGAAACAATGGTATATTTTGATTAAATCCCTATCCATAACAGTGCCTTTATATCTATGTAAAGGGTGCCAAAAAAGAGTAGTCCTTCATGTAAAGGTTGATGCCCTGAAAGTGTAGCCAATCCCGCTTAGAGTGTTCTTCAAGAAAAAAATTACCCTGCTCTTTTTAAAAGCTGCAGGAAACACTAAAACTGTGCTACTATTATAGAATTTAGAGCCTATGTCAGACACCTCATCAGTGGTTGTCTATAGTCATAATATACCTTATCCCATGTCAGACACCTCATCAGTAATTGTCTATAGTCATAATATACCTTATCCCATGTCAGACACCTCATCAGTAATTGTCTATAGTCATACTATACCTTATCCCATGTCAGACACCTCATCAGTGGTTGTCTATAGTCATACTATACCTTATCCCATGTCAGACACCTCATCAGTGGTTGTCTATAGTCATAATATACCTTATCCCATGTCAGACATTTCATCAGTGGTTGTCTATAGCCATAATATACCTTATCCCATGTCAGACATCTCATCAGTGGTGGCTATAGTCATAATATACCTTATCCCATGTCAGACATCTCATCAGTGGTTGTCTATAGTCATAATATACCTTATCCCATGTCAGACACCTCATCAGTGGTTGTCTATAGTCATAATATACCTTATCCCATGTCAGACACCTCATCAGTGGTTGTCTATAGTCATAATATACCTTATCCCATGTCAGACACCTCATCAGTGGTTGTCTATAGTCATAATATACCTTATCCCATGTCAGACATCTCATCAGTGGTTGTCTATAGTCATAATATACCTTATCCCATGTCAGACATCTCATCAGTGGTTGTCTATAGTCATGTCAGACACCTCATCAGTGGTTGTCTATAGTCATGTCAGACACCTCATCAGTGGTTGTCTATAGTCATGTCAGACACCTCATCAGTGGTTGTCTATAGTCATAATATACCTTATCCCATGTCAGACAACTCATCAGTGGTTGTCTATAGTCATGTCAGACACCTCATCAGTGGTTGTCTATAGTCATGTCAGACACCTCATCAGTGGTTGTCTATAGTCATGTCAGACACCTCATCAGTGGTTGTCTATAGTCATAATATACCTTATCCCATGTCAGACAACTCATCAGTGGTTGTCTATAGTCATGTCAGACACCTCATCAGTGGTTGTCTATAGTCATGTCAGACACCTCATCAGTGGTTGTCTATAGTCATGTCAGACACCTCATCAGTGGTTGTCTATAGTCATGTCAGACACCTCATCAGTGGTTGTCTATAGTCATAATATACCTTATCCCATGTCAGACATCTCATCAGTGTTTGTCTATAGTCATGTCAGACACCTCATCAGTGGTTGTCTATAGTCATGTCAGACACCTCATCAGTGGTTGTCTATAGTCATGTCAGACACCTCATCAGTGGTTGTCTATAGTCATGTCAGACACCTCATCAGTGGTTGTCTATAGTCATGTCAGACACCTCATCAGTGGTTGTCTATAGTCATGTCAGACACCTCATCAGTGGTTGTCTATAGTCATAATATACCTTATCCCATGTCAGACATCTCATCAGTGGTTGTCTATAGTCATGTCAGACACCTCATCAGTGGTTGTCTATAGTCATGTCAAACACCTCATCAAGACACCTCATCAGTGGTTGTCTATAGTCATGTCAGACACCTCATCAGTGGTTGTCTATAGTCATGTCAGACACCTCATCAGTGGTTGTCTATAGTCATGTTAGACACCTCATCAGTGGTTGTCTATAGTCATGTCAGACACCTCATCAGTGGTTGTCTATAGTCATGTCAGACACCTCATCAGTGTTTGTCTATAGTCATGTCAGACACCTCATCAGTGGTTGTCTATAGTCATTTCAGACATCTCATCAGTGGTTGTCTACAGTCATGTCAGACACCTCATCAGTGGTTGTCTATAGTCATGTCAGACACCTCATCAGTGGTTGTCTATAGTCATAATATACCTTATCCCATGTCAGACAACTCATCAGTGGTTGTCTATAGTCATGTCAGACACCTCATCAGTGGTTGTCTATAGTTATGTCAGACACCTCATCAGTGGTTGTCTATAGTCATGTCAGACACCTCATCAGTGGTTGTCTATAGTCATGTCAGACACCTCATCAGTGGTTGTCTATAGTCATGTCAGACACCTCATCAGTGGTTGTCTATAGTCATGTCAGACACCTCATCAGTGGTTGTCTATAGTCATGTCAGACACCTCATCAGTGGTTGTCTATAGTCATGTCAGACACCTCATCAGTGGTTGTCTATAGTTATAATTTACCTTTAAGAATTTGGTGATGATGGCATATCTTGAAAAAAGAATAAGTTGGATAAGGCTCTAATATGGCCCCCTATTTCTTGCTAAATTTTGAATATGGATTATTATCCAATAAATTGATAATAGATATTTTAATTTATTTTTTTTTGGAAAATCTGTATTCCTCTCATGACTTCACAAATAGCACAACTTTTGATTTTCCTCAAAATAATTCAATGAATATGGATGAATTTCCATTTCCATTGGTTTTTCTAACCAGAAGCATTTTTTGACTTTATGTTTGGTATATAAAATTACATATCTGACTTGAATATTAAGGGCATTGAACCCTGCACTTTATGTTTCATAAGACTGTAATGTGGTTGAAATCAAGAAGATTTTGTCATGTTTCAACATACTCTCTATGTTGGCCTGTTTGGGGTGTAAATATCAACGCTTTATAAATAAGAAAATCTCATCCAAAATAGTTATATTTCAATTTCTTTCATGTCTATTCATCAACTTGAAACACTTTTTATCTTGAAAGAATGCACTTAATATTGGGGGCCAAAAAGGGAACTTGAAACACTTTTTATCTTGAAAGAATGCACTTAATATTGGGGGCCAAAAAGGGAACTTACTCCTTTTATTCAAATTTTTTTCATCACTTTCCTAAACTCAGGGAAAAAAGGGAATGATATATTGTATTGACAATGATCTTTGGTTAAAACCATACATGCATTGTACCGGTATGTTAAATTCTAGATAAGTTTTCATTTTTGTGTTGGTTGGTTGTTGTCTGATTGAGTATACCTCACATTTTTTATTCGTACCAATGAAGTAAAATGCAAATCCAATCAGATTCATCATGGTCATAGAAAAGGCAAAAACTAGCTTTGGCCTGAAGAATCAACTGGCTGTAATGTCATTTCTGTGACGTAATAGAAGAAGTATTAGCAATTATCGATTAATTTCATAAACAGTTTGGCTAAATTATAGGCACAAATTCTACAATGACTATTGCATTGCTGAATGTTTGAATGATTGAAAGAAATGGTATAAACTGTATATGACATAGCCATTTATTTGCAGGGGCATAAAAACAGGCAGCACTTCAGTAAAAGTTTAAACCTAAGTTTACCCCTCTTTTACCAACAATATGGCTAAGAAGATACAGAAAAATCACATAGTGATATTAAGTAAGGAGGGTCTTACCTTTTATTAATGGTTTGATATATATCATTTATAAAGGGGTACCATAAACTATATATATAGACATTTGTTAAGAGGTTAATTTCATTTCTGAATGGTTATGTCACCTGCTTATTTCAATAATACAAAAGCATTTAAATAATACTATTGAAGCAGTTCTTTATATTAACGGTTAGAAGTGTTCAGATAAACTAAGAAAGATGTCAATAACTTTAAATGCTATTTCAATAAAAAGCAAAGCTACATATATTTTTCAGATTACATAATTGCACTTAAGTTGTGGTATCATAGAGAATACCACTGACTTTAAAATTAGTACAACTCTTTTAAAACTAAGTATTATCTGTTACCAAGCAAAAGCTGGTTATGTTTATATAAACAAACACTTTAAGTCAGCCAAAGCTCTAAAATATAGTCACATATAGATAAATAATAATATTACAGGGAAGGTAAAACACTGATAACCTCCACACTCTAGGTCAAACATTCCTACCTTTATCATCTGAAGCTGCACCTACAGAAACAGAATTTTCTTCAATAGCTGTAGCACCATTTGGAATATCAATTCGAGGTTTATTAACTGAAGACTTTTTCTTCTTATCCTCTTTCGGTTTTCTTTTTGATTTAGAACTTTTATTTCCCATATTTAAAGTTTATACCAAGTGAACACAAAATTCTCCACTTCCTGGTATGTGTAATTTAAATTACATGTAAACCAACAAATCAATACAATATGTGTAGTCAACAATGACCACTTATTAAATGTCTATATTTACATGTGTAGGCAGACAAATTAAAAATAAGAAGTGGAAAGTTAACTGATACAGGATATTAATCAACTAGGGATTACAAGTATCAAGAAATAGGGAAAGGTTAAACAGTAAATACTCCTGTGGTCAAAAATATACATATATGTTCATGAATTTAATACACCTTTGGACCTTGCAGTTATAATTACTGAGTCAACCAATTATATAAAAGTATATAAATACTCTCACATTTTTTAGTTAATTGGCAGAGATATAGGTTGGATTTTCATGACAAAATCCAATGAATATAATCACTGTATACTTAAATTTACACTGAGGAAATAATAATTACATTATTGATACTCACAAGTCTTACATTAAATATTAGACAGCTAATAGATTACATTAAATATTAGACAGCTAATAGATTAACAATATATAGGACCATGAATAATTTTCAATTCATAAAAACACTTTAATTTATATATTTTGAACAAGTTAACCAAAATATCATATCTAAGGTTCCATTATGGAAAATGTCCATGAATAATGTAAAAAGCTCTGAATTGTATTGATATCAAAGAATTGTTGAAATACAGCCCATAACTTACCAGATGACTGTTCATTGGAAGCAGAAATATTCTTTGGTATTGTTGGGTCCTGTGTATAGCGTTTATTCTCCTTTTTCTGTGATTCGTCAGTTCCATTTTTATTTGATAAATCACTAAATTCAACAGGCTTATCCTCTGTGTTTTTCGAACAACAAGCTCCCATTGTTATCAGTTCACATAAGTAATTCTTTGTTACAACCTTTTAGAATCAATCACAAAATTTCAGCTTGGGCATCTGAAAGATACACAGACATGTAAATAAATGTACCTATATAAATCTATGAAAGACTATATATATGGTGTAATAGGTTACAGTGTTTACAAGTATATGTACTACTCAAAATGAAAAATAAAGGTGCATATTTGTAATCAAATAGGTATCAAAAACGTATGTTCTATATCTTTTGATATGTATAAGGCTATAACTATCACATCTATATTATTTAGAAAAATAGAGATATATATTGTGTGATGAAGAATTGCTTACTTTTTTTTTAAAAGAAAGTTTTCCTTTTCTGTCATGAATTAATTATTTTATTGCTAGTCTGAATAAAAATCTTAATATAATTTAGAATATTTTTGTTCCTCATATTATTTGGTATTATGCAGGATATAAGCTTTATATCTAGAAACTACAAGTACAAAATGTTTGTATGAAAATTTTTTATTTGTATTTAGCTCGCAGTCAAACTGATTTTTCAAAATTGCTGTCCAAAAAGATTTCAGCAAGGTATAACTGCTAAATGTAGCAACAGTGAATGACAGCTGTCACTAGGCATTGGGCAATACTGGCCCTTCATTATTTCAGAAATATTTAAGACTATCTTCAGTCTGTTTAGGAGGAAAGATCTATATATATATTTGTTATATAGATTGCCTAACAATGTAATTTTAACACACTATTTAGTATGTAAATATAAGAATGTTTAAAATATTTACAAAATGATGAAAATAAACGCAATATTTCGCTAGACTAACTAGCTTTATCAAGCGTGCATCTATCCAGGTGAAATCGGATGTAGATGATAAGAAACTTTTGCAGCTCAATGTATATGTTGCACTTGAATTTAGCTGCCTTGAAAATAATAAATAATTTGAATGAAGTTCAAGATTTTTACAAAATTGGTAGTTGAAGTTAGCAACGTCCATTGGCCAATATTACAGAATAAAAAGGACGATGCTGTGTACTAAATTATTCTTTATCTTTCCTGTATCTTTTCTCATCTTTTTCGTTAAGACCATCAGGTTCTAAAGTGTGGAGTTGGTGGATCCAAAAATTTTCTCTTCTCCTTCTCGCCGTGGTGTCCCACCCGAGTGGGACACCACGGCGAGAAGGAGAAGAGAAAATTTTTGGATCCACCAACTCCACACTTTAGAACCTGATGGTCTTAACGAAAAAGATGAGAAAAGATACAGGAAAGATAAAGAATAATTTAGTACACAGCATCGTCCTTTTTATTCTGTAATATTGGCCAATGGACGTTGCTAACTTCAACTACCAATTTTGTAAAAATCTTGAACTTCATTCAAATTATTTATTATTTTCAAGGCAGCTAAATTCAAGTGCAACATATACATTGAGCTGCAAAAGTTTCTTATCATCTACATCCGATTTCACCTGGATAGATGCACGCTTGATAAAGCTAGTTAGTCTAGCGAAATATTGCGTTTATTTTCATCATTTTGTAAATATTTTAAACATTCTTATATTTACATACTAAATAGTGTGTTAAAATTACATTGTTAGGCAATCTATAATTTTATTTGTGTAATTGAATTAATCCCTGTACTGATTAATCCACACTCCCATAGATTTGTATGTCATGTGCTGCTATTTATAGGCACTTATATTTGTTATATATATATATATATATATATATATATAACAAATATGATTTGTCTTGCTTAAGTAACACATTTTCTTCAAAAACCACTGTAATCACCTAAGACACACATTTAAGAAATTGATTGAAGTTTTTGAGGTATTTATAACCTTTATGAGACATGTTATTACAGTCATTACAGTGATATACATGTGTACCTGTCTGGCCTTCAGCAACATGAATCAAACTCACAAAAGAAAAATAAATTAGAGTTCTTTTCTGTCGGTCACACAAAATTTATAAATTTCTTAAACAAATATGAATGATTTTTTCCAATTCAACACAGGGGTTGGTCCAGGATTGTTGAAAGGGGGGTATAATTCCATAAAACTGAAGAAATACCTGCAGAGAGTAGCCAAGTGAAAAAAATTTGGATTATCTTCTGCTAAAAAATTATATATTATCCAATCAAAAGGAGGGGGGTTAAGCCCTCTATGCCCCCTTCCCTCTAAATCTGCCACAGCAACATGTGAGTTCTTCATTGAGAAAAACTCTTAAATAAAAAGGGCTTTTGTGAGTCATCAGTACAACTATCTTGTCCTCCTGCACTTTTTTATGTTTTGAAATGTAGGACAAGCCTTTTTGACAACAAACAAGTGTAGAAATATTTTAGCCCTGTAGTCAAACCTGCTTCAAAGGTTGGCTCTATTAAGGTTCATGTGGACCCTTTGGGTAAAATGGCTGCATTTTCACCTCAAAATTTACTCTGAGTACAGACAAACCCGTGTATCTGTAAAAGTTTTAAGGCATAGTATGCCCTAGACAAATAAAATTCAAATACATTTTATGTTTTAGAAAATTAAAAACAGGATTTTGCAGTGCACTTTTTTTCATTCCTCCAGAAGGTGCCAAAATAAACTAACTTGTGAAAGAGGTTTGAGAACTTCCCCACAGGTAATAATTAAAGTGAACTGTATTGATTGGCATGGACAATAGATGGACAATAGATAACTGACAATAATTGGTGATTTAAACTGTGTACCTAGTAAGTGGATTATATCAAGTGAAACTCAACTGTTTGTTAATTTTATCATCTTCTGCAGGGATGAAAAAAAGTGCATTGCAAAATACTGTTAAGTTTTAAATTTTCTAAAACATACAATGCATTTGAATTTTATTTATCTAGGGCATGCTATTTCTGAAAACTTTTCCAGATGAACAGGTTTGTCTGTACTCAGAGTACATTAGAGGTGAAAACGCAACCATTTTAGCCAAAGGGTCCACATGAACCTTAAGGAAAACCTGTTATGTCATGTCACTCTGTAGTAAAACCTGTTATGTCAGGTCACTCTGTAGTAATACCTGTTATGTCAGGTCACTCTGTAGTAATACCTGTTATGTCAGGTCACTGTTGTAATACTTGTTATGTCAGGTTACTCTGAAGTAATACCTGTTATGTCAGGTCACTCTGTAGTAATACCTGTTATGTCAGGTTGTAGTAATACTTGTTAAGTCAGGTCACTCTGTAGTAATACCTATTTTGAACAACAATTCAACGGTTACCTAATTATAAGGACACAAAGAAATTTTTACCATAAGCATGATAAAAGAGATAGGTTTATCAACTAATGAGAATTGAATATTGCTTGATATCTACTCTCATTTGTAAAATTCAATTACAATAATAAACTTGCAAAAGACTTGTTCATTATTAAATTGAAATTAAACAACTTGAGTTGATATCAAGCTATATCCAATTCTCACTCCTAATGAAACCTATTATTATCTCTATGTCCTTAAAATTTTGCTTTGATCTTTGTATATGTAACAGTATGATAATTTTCCATCTGAGTGTTAATAGTTTTTCTCATTTGAGTACAGTGAGAACAACATGATGTCTTTAGGCTACATCACTGTTTTGAAATAAATAAATGGAGAATGTGTCCCCATGGACACAGATGATGCCCCCGCTTGCATACAACATTATAAAGGGACATAACTCAAGAACAATAAAAGTGACGCTACCCAAATTTGTACTTGATCTTAGTTTTGTGGTAATAAGCATTTTGTATAGGTTTCATGCTTGGTTGGGGCAAACTTAAGTTACAGAACGGAAATTAAAAATTTTGCAATTTTTTTATTTATAAAGGGGCATAGCTCAATAATGGTTAAAGTGACACTACCCAAATTCAACTTGATCTGTGTTTTATTAGTGGAAGGCAATATTAAACATTGCATTGTATAAAGCATTGATTGTAGTTGATTCAACTATAATCAAGGACAAAGGAAGATAACTCCAACTTTAAAAATTACTTGAACAATGACATCATTGATATTTTTAGAAAAAAAAATGAAAAATTTAGCAATTTTTCCATTTATAAAGGGGCATAACTCTAGAACGGTTAAAGTGACGCCACCAAAATTCAAACTTGATCTGTGTTTTGTAATAATAAGCATTGTGTATAAGTTTCATAACATTTGGTTGAGGCAAACTTAAGTTAGAGAACAGAAACCAATTTTGGGACGTACGGACAGACGGACAAGGGTAAAACTTAATGCCCCCTCCGCTTCGACGGGGCATAAAATTAGAGATTAACAGATTATCCATGGTCTTTCAAATAGAGGAAGTTTCTCTACATATCTCATCTTAGGGCTATCACCCTTAGATGAGATTTTAGCTGAGAAACTTCCTCTCATTTTCAGAACCAAAGATATCTATAATTACGTTTTATATCAAAAACTGACAAACTTTTTTTGAATTATTGTAAAAAAATGGCTCCATGGCAATATTTACTGTGTTGTCAGATACAATTTATTGCATGTAAGTGGCATTAACCAGCTTTCAATACATAATAAGGCTTCACCAAATAACTAAAAAAGTATAACTCTTCAGTCTTGTATAAAGGGAGCAAAAATCTTTATTAATATTATTTACTTTAAATTGGAAATAAAGAATTGAGTAAAGTAAGTGAGATGTCACTTTTATATCAAAACTTCTTTATTTTTTTACTTTCTGTTTTTTTATACTTCTGGGTTACATCTACTCTATATATATATATCATGGTCTGGATGGGAGGTTCTTCATTTCTGTATTCTTTAATTTTTTAGGTCATTTTTCTCTATTCTTTACATTTTTTGCCCATTATTCTCTATTCTTTGTATTTCAGCACCCCATTATTCTCTATTCTTTGTATTTCAGCACCCAATTATTCTCTATTCTGTATTTTTTTGCCCTATTATTCTCAATTCTTTTTTTTGTGTCCATTTATCTCTAGATTTAGCCCATTGTTTTCTATTCTGTAAACCCCATCCACATCCTTATATATTGTTAAAAACTGTATTTTATATAGTTAACCTTCTTCCAATGCAAAGTTTTATTTTGTGGAAATTTTAACATAAGGACCCGTCAAAA